AACAAGGTTGAAGCCTCAGTTAGCACAGGCCTATGCTGTTTTTCTCTGCATTAGGACCATAAAAGCACCATCAAAACCATAGGCTGACGTGCACTGATTGAAATGGGTATTTTAGTGAGTGACAGCATCATGGTGAAGTGAGACCTCCTTTGCATGTCCCCTGAAATCCACAACTAGTCAGATATCCAGAACCCAACAAAGGGTCCTGTGCGCCACACACTGAAAAGTCCATGGCCAGTACTTCCGAAGGTGGGCATATTGGAATGTGTAGGAGAGGCAGGATGAGAGGGGGAAGAGGGGATGACAGGGACAGACCCATCACTGCAGCAAGGCTGAACCTACAGGTCCAGCAAACACAGAAGCAGTGGTTGAGTCGGGGTGCAGCTCCCACACCACAAACCAGTGCAAGGCAACTGCCAGCAGCATTCCTAACTCTCCCTCCCCCCAAGTCCAGATCCCTCCCCAGTTGCAGCTGTGCTCGCACTATTACAGACCAGCAGCAGCAGCAGAGCAAAGCCTCCAGCCTCCAGGCCACAGCACCTTGCTGCCAGTGGCCATAGGGAATGAGGCAGCAGCTCAGTGGGCTCACACACTGGCTCCCCTCAACTGGCCACATCCCTGTCGGGGGGCGGGGGAGTGCCCTGAGACCCAGGCCACCCGGATCCAACACCAGAACCCACTGCCCTGGTCACCCCACCTCCACTCCCAGGTCCAAGGCAAAGCCTCCTACACCTTTACTCACAAGCATCCTCCTCCCCAAGCTTAAGTAGTACAGGTGAGAGAAAACAAAAACTGCGCTATACTACCATCTACTGGATAACAAAAGAAAGACCTCAAATTTTCAACCTGCTGAATTGTGGAAAGGAAAATGCTCCCAAATAAGAAAAGTGTTCACCACTTCAAATGTGCCCGCAGAGGAACGACCCATCAAGCAGCATGGACCACCAAGGTAACAATTACACGGGAAGACAATGACCATTCTCCAGAAAGGAACTCAAAATAATGGATGACTGTGATCTAAAGGAGAGAGAAATCAAAACAGCAGTCATGAAGAAACTCAATGAGATACAAGAAGGCAGTTCAATGAGCTCAGGAATAAAATTAATGACAAAAGAAGTACTTTACCAAAGAGATGAAAACTATAAAAAGAACCAAACTAATTATGGAACTAAAAAGCTCAATGAATGAGATAATTAATGGATTTATTAATAACTGATATGCAATAAAAGCTAGTTGCTATGTCAAGATGGCCTGACAGTGCCATCTTAGTCATCAGTCATTCAAGGGCTGGCAAGATACAGACAGAAGTGAACTTTATTTAAAAATGCAAATATATAAAATAAAAATTCAAATATTTCCTTCATTTCACTATTTAGAAAATGTACAACTGCTCAGCAAGACATTTTATAAAAACTGAAATAAAAATGCTTAAGGAAAGTAGCAATTAAGAATGTTCTCTACGTAAGAAGATGACAAAAATTCACACTTAAACACAGAAATTAATCAGTTCAGTATTACATGTTTATTTAATTCATAAGAAAAGATTCTCAGCGTAGGAATCACCAAGGTTTCTATTGCATGCAAAACTACTATTAGGGGGGAGCAACTAAGATGGCGGCATAGGTAAACACCGGGAAATTATTGCCTCACACAACAATTGAAAATTACCGCAAAGGACTGAGCAAACATCATCCAGAACAACAGGAAGGCTGGCTGAGTGTAAATTCCACAACTAGAAGGAAAGAAAAGCACGCTGAGAGCCAGAGGCGCTGCGGAGGTAAAGTGCAGAGGTACGGCGGCTCGCGCGCGCGCGCGTGAGAAAAGGGGGTGGCGCCTGAGGACGCGGCTGTCTTTTTGAATCACAAACTCCGGACTGCTCTGAACTCCGGTTCCGGGAAGTCTCTGGGGACCCAGGTCTCATACGGGGAGAAGCTGGTCTGTCCGGCAGCGAGCGAACTTGAGGGCGGCTTTCCCTCAGAGGTGCTTGCAGCCGTTACCGGAACACTGAGACCCGCGACTCCGGGCGGAGAATCGGCCATGGCCGCTTTCTCCGCCCTCTGACTCCCTGAGACCCCGCCCCACCCAGGCTGCGGCAGAGGCTTTTGCATGTGAATGTACCTAACTGCAGCCGAACCAGGCAGACCTGGAACTTCCAAGAGAAGGCCCAAGGCCCCGCAGCGGCTTGCATTGCTTCACAGCTGAGCCTCTTCGTGGATCCTGCTGTGTGGCCTCAGGCAGAGGCTGAATTAGCACCTCCTTAGATCCAGGAGCCACTGTACCCAGTGGTCAGAGGGGGTCCATCCAGACTGCAACTCCTCAGATCCATAAGGGACGCACTCAGGGAGCAGACTCAGTGAGCACCAAAGCTCCACTGAAGCAAGTCTTGCCCCAGAAGGGTGTCTTCAGCACAGAAGTTCTCCCACTTTAGACACAGCTGATTCTCACAGCCAATTGGCCTGGAGGTCAATTCCTCCCAGTGATTCTACAACAACCAAGGCACCAAGAGTGCACCAAGAGTGTCCACCCCAGGTAACTGGGGAGGCTGAGCTACTGGGCCCTTCAGGACACCTGGCGCACAGGGCCACTCTATCAACACAGGGAAGCTGCCAAAATGCGGAGACAAAGAAATAGGTCACAAATGGCAGAAATGGAGGAAAGTAAACGATTGGATATAGAGTTTAAGGCCACGGTTATAAGGTTTTTCAAGAATTTTATGGAAACCGCTGATAAATTTAATGAATCCCTCAATAAGTATAGGGAGACCATGGAGGACATGAAAAAGGACCAACTAGAAATTAAGCATACACTGACTGAAATAAAGAATAATTTACAGAGATCCAGCAGCAGACAAGAGGATCCCAAGAATCAAGTCAAAGATTTGAAATACAAAGAAACAAAAAATACCCAACCGAAAAAGAAAAAAGAAAAGAGATTCCAAAAATATGAAGATAGTGTAAGGAACCTCTGGGACAACTTCAAGCGTACCAACATCAGAATTATAGGGGTACCAGAAGGAGAGAGAGGGCAAGATATTGAAAACCTTTTTGAAGAAATAATGACAGAAAACTTCCCCTACCTGGTGAAAGAAATGGACTTACAATTCCAGGAAGCGCAGAGAACCCCAAACAAAAGGAATCCAAGGAGGACCACACCAAGACACATCATAATTAAAATGCCAAGAGCAAAAGATAAAGAGAGAATCTTAAAAGCAGCAAGAGAAAGACAGTTAGTTACCTACAAGGGAGTACCCATACGACTGTCAGCTGATTTCTCAACAGAAACCATGCAGGCCAGAAGAGAGTGGCAAGAAATATTCAAAGTGATGAATAGCAAGAACCTGCAACCAAGATTACTTTATCCAGCAAAGCTATCATTCAGAATAGAAGGTCAGATAAAGAGCTTCACGGATAAGAAAAAGCTAAAGGAGTTCATCACCACCAAAACAGCATTATATGAAATGCTGAAAGGTATTCTTTAAGAAGAGGAAGAAGAAAAAGGAACTATTACCATTTGCCACAGCATGGATGGAACTTGAGAGCGGATAAATACCACAGGATCTCACTCATTTGTGGAATATAATGAACAACATAAGCTGATGAACAAGGACTGATCCAGAGACGGAGAGGCATTGATTGGACTGTCGGGACTTGGAGGGAAGGTAGGGGAGGGTGGGGGTAAGGGGGAAAGATCAACCAAAGGACTTATATGCAAGCATATAGGCCTAACCAATGGACATGGACAACGGGGGGGTGAGGGCATGAGCGGGGGTGGGGGGGGTGGGGGGTAGAGGGTAACGTGGGGACAAGGACACATATGTAATATCTTAATCAATAAAAAATATATTAAAAAAAAACAAAAAAAAAACTACTATTAGGATTTCCAACACAAGGTGTCTCCAGGACTGGCCTCGTATTAGTAGTGCTCAGTCATCTGTTTTGTTGTTTCTACAAGAAGGAGAACTTCAGTGCTGACCTCTGCTAGCTGCTTCTGAGCCCTGTAAAGATTGTAAACAACAGATGCTTAGTATTTTATTTTTCCCTCAGTGACTTGCAATTTTTTAAAGTAGCCAGGATAGTAAATGGAATTGCCCATTAAATAGCATTTTAACAATGAAAATGTGTCAGAGCAGAGCTACTCTATTCAAGTATAGGTTCTTAATTTTTCTAAAAAAGTACTTATGTTTCCAGGCAGTGGGGAGAGGGGGTCCCAGCTAAGTAATCCAAAGTGGGGAGGCTATCAGTGATGCAGACGGCTTATCAGGTAATACTTGCTGCCTCTGGAAGGGCTATACTTACAAGACCTTTTAAGATGCCCTTGGACATATTTAGCAGCCACTTTAGAGATTAAAAAAAAAATCCCTCAAAGACATTGCCAAGCATTTGCCTTTACCACCCTGTACAATACACTCATTACTTTGGAGATATTAATAACTTGACACCAAGTCATAATTTAGAACAACAACCTCTAAGGGAGAACAGGATAGCCTGGCTGGTGATCAAATGACTGAAAACAGCTCCAGAGGCCATTGCTGATAACATTGTTACCAAGGCGTTGGAGATGGGATCTTCCCTTTCTGTCTTCCCCACACCCTCCTCCTGCAGATCACATTATTTTTAGCCGCTTTGTCAATTATACTGCCCCTCACCCCGATGTTAAGCTTTGCCTATTTAACACGTATGGCTCTATGTGGAGTAGAAAAACTATAAAGGATAGTTTGTTTAAAGGCGCCCTCTAGTGATAATAAAAAATATCACAATAAAGAAAGTAAATTTACCAAGTACCAGATTGTGTTGGAGGAACTTAACCCTTTGTGTTCAAGTTGTCTTAAATGTTTCTATTTAGGGGGATTCTGACACGCGATTTTATAATAATATTGATAAATTGTAGAGCTTCAAGACATTCAGCTTAAAGACTAGTAGATCAGGTTAACTACATGGAAATATTAAGGGGAAAACACTAAAGGCACGTAAAACCAAAAAAGGAGGAGAGATGAAACTGTCTTGAAGGAACATTTGAAAGGTAAGTTTATTTACTAACATCATTTGCCAAAGTTATACTATTTAGTTAGCTTTCACGCCCTGCTAATCTCATGAACCTGGCACAATAGTAATTATGTTTTAAGTTTAGAGGCTAATTGGCGAGTTAAATTTATTTTCTCTGATTCTGCATTTGACGTATAAAGTTCATTTCTTTTCCAATAATTTTCTGGGTTCCAATTCTTCTTGATAGAGTCGCACATATTTTTCCGATTCTCTTTCTGCTGTCATCTTGAGAAGTTTGCAAAAAGAGGAGTTCTGAATTCCAAATGACTTCTTATTGAAGCATTACGAGTACATATTAACTCCTCTGAGGTTGCTTGAGATGCTCTTTGTGTCTAAAGCAAATAAAAAGGATACATTTTCAAAGTAAGTATAACCTGAACAGTTTATAATTGTTTTCTTTAGTTTTGAGTCAATGACTCAGAGATCAGCTTTAAATGTGAAAAAAAAAGCTGACATTTAAAATATTTATTTTTCATCAATGTCCACTGAATTAAATCTGAGTTATAAAGTTAATCATTCTTCTATTAGTACTCATGTAATCTGATAATTCAAAGAATAATAGAATCAGTTTAAACATTTTAAAGTAGAATGACATAACTTAATTCAAGAGTATGGAACAATTTTTAAATCACATTTTCCCCTTTTCTTTCAAATAGTCTTGTTTAACATCAACTGGTCTTAAAAATAAAATGATCCTCTAAGAATCATTTGGAAAGATCAATTTAGTGATAATAATGATGGAAACTGAAATACTGAAAAGGAAAAACAAATGCCACCTTCCTTCCAGAAATCTACAAAATAAATTGCTATTAAAGGAAGCAAAGGAAAGGCAAAACACTATCCAAAATGTAATTTGCAGTGAAGTGAATTAAAGCACATTAAATCAATAAATTAACCTGTAAAAATAAGTCGAGTTGTGTCACTTTGTCTGCTAGATCCTTTGCAGTTTCTTCAATCTTTACTTTATACTTTTCTCCTACACAGTCTTCTGCCCTGCGCATATCCATTCGTGTTCTGAGTTTTCCTGCTCTTTGTTTCCACGGGTCTTGTTTAGGCTTTAGTTCTTCACGTCTCTTTAGAAGCGTTTCCATTGCTAACTCCTGTTGAGGTGTCTTTTCTTCATCCAGACATATACATTTTGAAGATGACGGTTGCAGTTTTGCTATAAGCTCATCATTCTGCATGAATAAAAGAATATAGTTTGATTATGAAGGTGCGGTCGCCAGTATGGAATTTTGAAATGAATTCAATTGCAATAAAATGTTATCTGTACAGTGGTAGAGTCTTCGGATGTGGAACCTTGAATTACTCAGAATCAAAACCAAAGTTAAAACGACCAGGAGACAAAAATATATTTACTGTTGTTGTCTTTGCCACACGTCTGCACTTGACTTTATACTCCTTTTCCTGTGACTGTTTCATGTCTATCATCCACAAAATGACTACATGTTGCCCCTTAGTAGAAAGTCTCTTACCTTTCCCCCATGTTAACTCTTCATAATCTTTAAAAAAGTTTTAGAATAAAAGGACACACTCAGGGGCCAGACTCAGTGAGCATCAAAGCTCCATTGAAGCAAGTCTTGCCCCAGAGGGGTGTCTCTAGCACAGAAGTTCTCCTACTGCAGACACAGCTGATTCTCACAGCCAATTGGCCTGGAGGCTAATTCCTCCCAGTGGTCCTACAACAATCAAGGCTTAACTACAACAAGACTGTGCACAAAGCCCTCAAGGGGGTGCACCAAGAGTGTCTCCCTCAGGTAATTGGGGAGGCTGAACCACTGGGCCCTAGAGGACACTTAGCACAGAAAACCACTTTATCAACACAGGGAAGCATAAAAAATGCAGAGACAAAGAAAAAGGACAGAAATGACAGAAATGGAGGAAAGCAAACTACTGGATATAGAGTTCAAAACCACACTTTTCAGGTCTTTCAATAATTTTCTAGAAACTGCCGATAAACTTAATGAGATCTACAAGAAATCTAATGAGACCCTCGATGATGTGATAAAGAACCAACTAGAAATTAAGCATACACTGACTGAAATAAAGAATATTATACAGACTCCCAACAGCAGACTAGAGGATTGCAATAATCAAGTCAACAATTTGAAATACGAAGAAGCAAAAAACACCCAACCAGAAAAGCAAAATGAAAAAAGAATCCAAAAATACGAAGATAGTGTAAGGAGCCTCTGGGACAACTTCAAGCGCACCAACATCTGAATTATAGGGGTGCCAGAAGAAGAGAGAGAGCAAGATATTGAAAACCTATTTGAAGAAATAATGACAGAAAACTTCCCCTATCTGGTGAAAGAAATAGACTTACAAGTGCAGGAAGCGCAGAGAACCCCAAACAAAAGGAATCCAAAGAGGACCATACCAAGACACGTCATAATTAAAATGCCAAGAGCAAAAGACAAAGAGAGAATCTTAAAAGCAGCAAGAGAAAAACAGCTAGTTACCTACAAGGGAGTACCCATACGACTGTCAGCTGATTTCTCAACAGAAACTTTGCAGGCCAGAAGGGAGTGGCAAGAAATATTCAAAGTGATGAATGCCAAGAACCTACAACCAAGATTACTTTACCCAGAAAAGCTATCATTCAGAATTGAAGGTCAGATAAAGAGCTTCACAGATAAGAAAAAGCTAAAGGAGTTCATCACCACCAAACCAGTATTATATGAAATGCTGAAAGGTATCCTTTAAGAAGAGGAAGAAGAAAAAGGTAAAGATACAAATTTTGAACAACAAATACACATCTATCAACAAGTGAATCTGAAAATCAAGTGAATAATCTGATGAACAGAATGAACTGGTGATTATAATAGTATCAGGGGCATAGAAAGGGAGTTGACTGACTATTCTTGGGGGGGAAAGGGTTGTGGGGGATGCGGGAAGAGACTGGACAAAAATCGTGCACCTATGGATGAGGACAGTGGGTGGGGAGTGAGGGAGGAGGGTGGGGTGGGAACTGGGTGGAGGGGAGTTATGGGGGGGGGAAGAGGAACAAATGTAATAATCTGAACAATAAAGATTTAATAAAAAAAAAAGAAAACAAAACAAAAATCAGACCAAACAAAATAAAAAATAAAATGGATTACTTAAGCCTTAACATACCAATAATTATATTATATATAAAGGGTCTAAATATACCAATTAAAAGACAGAACTGGCAAGTAGTTTAAAAAACATGACAACTATCTGCTATCTACAAGCAACTCATTTCAAGTGGAATAATACAGGTAGAGTGAAAGTTAAAGGATGAAAAATGTATACCATGTAAACAGTAATCAGATAAAGCAAGAGTTGCTGTTTTAATATCAAAGTAGATTTCAGAAATAGGAGAGAGAGAGAGAGAGAGAGAGAAATATTATATAATGCTATCAGGGTCAATCCACCAAGAAGACATAGCAATCCTAAGTGTAATGCATATATAAACAACAGAGCTGCAAAATGTGAACCCAAAACTGATAGAACTGTTTAAAATAGACAAATATGCAATTATAGTTAGAGATAAAATATCTCTCAACAATTTGATAAACTAGACAGAAAATCAGCAAGGATATAGAACAACTCTACAAAACCATCAACCAACAGGATTTAATAAAGATTTATTGAACACTCCATCCTATAACAACTGAACATACATTTATTTTTAGGTAGTCACAGAACATATATCTAAATCAGCCATTTCCTGGGCCATAAACCAAACCTCAACAAATGAAAACACGTAGGATGTGCTCTTTGATGACACTGAAATAAAACTAGAAATTAATAACTTAAAGATAACAGGGAAATCTCTGTACACTTGAAAACGAAATAACATATTCCAAATGATCCAAGGATCAAAGAATAAATCTCAAAGGAAACTTAAAAATACATTGAACTGAATGAAAAAGAAAACAAAACACATCAGAATGTATGGGAATCATCCAGGGCAGTGCTGTGAGGAAAATCTACAACATTAAATTTCTGCATTAAGAAAAAGAAAAAATTTTCAAATTTAAGCTTGCATTTCAAGAAACCACAAAAACTAGAGCTAAATAAATACAGAGCGGTAGAAAAGAGAAATAATAAAAAGAGCAAGAAGCAATGATATTGATAACAACAATAACAACAAACCCAGAGATAATCAATTAAATAAAAGCTGGTTCTTTTAAAAGGTCAGTAAATCAATGGACAAAAACTAAAACCATTTCCCCTATAATAAGAACAAGACAGGGATACCCACTTTCACCACTCTTTTTCAACACAGTACTGGAAGTCTGAGCCATAGCGATCAGACAAGAAGAAAAAATAAAAGGCATCCAAATTCGCAGATGACATGATTAATGCACATAGAAAACCCTAAATACTCCATCAAAAAATTACTAGATTTAATAAATGAATTCGCCAATGTAGCAGGATACAAAATTAACACCCAGAAATCTATGTCACTTAAAAAAAAATCTTTATTGTTGAGAGTATTATATATATATCTACCTTTTCCCTCCATTGACCACTTCTGGCCCCCACACCCCTCCAGGCTTTCACACACAAAAAAAAAAGTTTTAGAGAGCCGAAACCGGTTTGGCTCAGTGGATAGAGCGTCAGCCTGCGGACTGAAAGGTCCCAGGTACGATTCCGGTCAAGGGCATGTACCTGGGTTGCGGGCACATCCCTGGTGGGAAATGTGCAGGAGGCAGCTGATCGATGTTTCTCTCTCATCGATGTTTCTAACGCTCTATCTCTGTCCCTTCCTCTCTGTAAAAAAATCAATAAAATATATTTTTAAAGAAAGTTTTAGAGATATCATATTGTGGTATTCAGAATTGTCAACAAATGCTTCCCAAGATAAGACTTTCAAAATGAGACTAATTAATGAATCTTATAAATATGGATTCTAATGCAGTAAGTTTTTCACTGAACTACAAAAGTTTGATGCTAATTTGAATTGCATTCCAAGAAGAAATGATTCCCTGGATTACAGAGAAATTAAAACTCTTACTGTTAAAGTTTAGTGACATAAGCCCTACATTTTTTAGAACCAAAAAAAGTGGGGGTGGGAGGCTGAATTCAATAATGCTATCTTGAAATTCTTTTACTTCCCTCAAAGTAAGGGAAGATACTAAACAAAACAATGTCATCATCATCAATAACAAACTTGCTGGAATGTCAGTGATAATGGTGACTGCTGTGTGACTGTGCTGTCTGGTGCCATCTGACTCTCTCCCCAGGGAGCTCACCCTGGGAACCCACCACCGTGTTGTGAAGAACAAAGCAGCCCAGGCCACATGGTCAGTCCTCATACAGGTGTCCAGCTGAGACTGCCCCAGGGAGCGTCCCAGCCAAAAGCCCGCTGCACCTGACAAACCCGTGAACAAACAAGCCTTTAGATCAGCGGTTCTCAACCTGTGGGTCGCGACCCCTTTGGGGGTCAAACGACCCTTTCACAGGGGTCACTTAAACATATAATTACATATTGTTTTTGTGATTCATCACTATGCTTTAATTTTTTTTCTTTAATATATTTTTTATTGATTAAGATATTACATATGTGTCCTTGTCCCCACGTTACCCTCTACCCCCCACCCCCCCCCACCCCCGCTCATGCCCTCACCCCCCCGTTGTCCATGTCCATTGATTAGGCCTATATGCTTGCATATAAGTCCTTTGGTTGATCTTTCCCCCTTACCCCCACCCTCCCCTACCTTCCCTCCAAGTCCCGACAGTCATCAGCTTATGTTGTTCATTATATTCCACAAATGAGTGAGATCATGTGGTATTTATCCGCTCTCCAGTTCCATCCATGCTGTGGCAAATGGTCAGAGTTCCTTTTTCTTCTTCCTCTTCTTAAAGAATACCTTTCAGCATTTCATATAATGCTGTTTTGGTGGTGATGAACTCCTTTAGCTTTTTCTTATCCGTGAAGCTCTTTATCTGACCTTCTATTCTGAATGATAGCTTTGCTGGATAAAGTAATCTTGGTTGCAGGTTCTTGCTATTCATCACTTTGAATATTTCTTGCCACTCTCTTCTGGCCTGCATGGTTTCTGTTGAGAAATCAGCTGACAGTCGTATGGGTACGCCCTTGTAGGTAACTGACTGTCTTTCTCTTGCTGCTTTTAAGATTCTCTCTTTATCTTTTGCTCTTGGCATTTTAATTATGATGTGTCTTGGTGTGGTCCTCTTTGGATTCCTTTTGTTTGGGGTTCTCTGCGCTTCCTGGAATTGTAAGTCCATTTCTTTCACCAGGTATGGGAAGTTTTCTGTTATTATTTCTTCAAAAAGGTTTTCAATATCTTGCCCTCTCTCTCCTTCTGGTACCCCTATAATTCTGATGTTGGTACGCTTGAAGTTGTCCCAGAGGCTCCTTACACTATCTTCATATTTTTGGAATCTCTTTTCTTTTTTCTTTTTCGGTTGGGTATTTTTTGTTTCTTTGAATTTCAAATCTTTGACTTGATTCTTGGGATCCTCTTGTCTGCTGCTGGATCTCTGTAAATTATTCTTTATTTCAGTCAGTGTATGCTTAATTTCTAGTTGGTCCTTTTTCATGTCCTCCATGGTCTCACTATACTTATTGAGGGATTCATTAAATTTATCGGCGGTTTCCATAAAATTC